CTCCAAATAAACAAGCTTTTTCATTACATAAACATTATTGTTATTTATTTATTTGTAATTGGAAATGCTGTTTTTTCGTTTGGTACAAATTTTGCAATCTGAAAATAAAAAATTAATTTAATATCAACAAAAAAATTAAATGTAATTTAATGTATTATATAAATATTTATTGTAAGTCCATTCAAATTTCTTGGTCAATTAATGATGCACGTGTTCACTTTGGGATATTTACTTATTGTGATATTTTTAATATTTTTTCTACAAAACAAGTTTTAATTTATTATATATACAATGTATTATGTTTTATTATATTTTGAATTCTTATACATAACATTTTTGGTAATTTTATTATGGTAATTGATTATATATTGATTTATATAAAGAAGTGATATAAATGTATCTTGCTCAACAATTTTCCTTTTTATTCTGATAACCCAAAGTGTTTTTATGCTAGTCTATTTGCTCATAAAAATATATAATTGAAGATATAATTCTTTCTATATTTCAAATTTAATCTTTTTGGTATAAAATAGATGCATCATTGTAATGAATGTATACAGATTGTATACAATTATTTGTATGATATCTTATAACTTAAATAAATAAACTTTAAAAATTATTCATAATTAATAGAAGATTGTAAAGATTTCATACAAATAATATAATGCTTTTACTGTGCCACCTTATGTTGTTAGACTATATAGAGAAATCTATTCGTGTTAAAATTTATTCTGCTAAGTTTAATTGAATATAATATACAACTATGAATAAATAGAAATATGTATGTACATATAAAAATAAATCAAAGTAAGCTTATGTATAATCAATTCTTTATTTTTTTCTTTTACTTTTAGAAAATATATGTATACATATTTTATGTATTTATATATATATTACATTTGTACAGGTACACGGTACGAGAGGCATTTTATGAATACTTTGGCAGTTTTACTATATAAAAATATGTTCTGTGATATACAAATCAAATTTAATTAATAATAATTATTTAATCTGCCTAATTTTTTTTATTCAAAAAAGCATACCAGAAATGAATTTTTTTTTAAATAATAAATAACAAATAGGCCTTTAATATTTTTGAATATATATTCATTAACAATTATATAAGTCTACAAATTTAGATGCATCTTCATACCGTTTAAATAGTGGACAAATTATTAATTGGCCACTAAATATCACTTATTTGAAAGACATTTATGTACAGTAAAGACTGTACTAAGACATATTTTCTATTGAATAAAAATATAAAAAAGATAAAGAATACATTATATAAAAGTTTATAATTTAAATTAATTCATTTGGCTTGTATAAGATTAATCCTGACTTGTGCCAGTGTATTGTCAATTTGTGACACATTGTGTCATGATATATTATTATGATTAATATCATTATTATTATTGTTATCATTATTATTATTAATATATTCTCTTATATGATGAAAAAAATAATTTTCTAATAATGATGCCAAAATATAAGAAATAAAATGAAAATATCTTACTATCAATAATAATTATTTAAAAATACTATCTTCTAAAATCTATTTTAGTTTAAATAATAAATATTTATTAATTTTTGAAAAGATTTTTTTACTCATTAGTAGGCTCTTATTAGAGTTACTATTAAAAATTTCGTATATCTTAATTATGATTTAATTTAAAATCATTAATATCACAATTTTCATTCTATATGTTTTATAAATAATCCAATTTTAGATTTAATGATATTACTTTAGATATGCAACTTTCAAGAATAATTCAAATTTGCACCATTATTAATTTCTCTTTTTTTTACATTTTTGATTTAAATATCTAAAATTTAAAATCTTAAATTTTTTACTGTAAATGTATGCTTATAGAATAAAAATGAATTTGAATAAAATTGACTGATACTAAAATCATACAAGCAATGGCCCAAACTATAACAAAAATGAGCCAAGAGTTACTAGAAAATGGACTTGCAAATTTATTAACAACACCAAGACCTATAACTTTATTTGTTTTTTGTCTGGCATAATACACTAAAAATGTTGGAATCAAATATTGAATTCCTGCTCCAGCATATGATCCTGTAATTCCTACTAATATTGATAAATCTTTAGTACTCAAAGCAATCATATATGGAGGTAATATTGCTAATATTGGGAAGACAATTTTACGAAGGCATGAATATGATGTATCTTCATTAAGAAATAATGATTGTAAATTATTTCTAAGCGTTATAGCTATAATAGGAAAGCTTGTACTCAATGTAAACACTGGAAAAAGTGCCAAAAAATATTCTATAAGAATAATAAAAATATTATTACTTTTGGAACAATCTCCAGATCCATGAGGACTAAAATCTAAAGTGTAAAGATCGTCCAAATGTTCGAAAGCAAATGCTCCAGTTAATGCCAGTAAAAGATAAAAAAATGCTATTAATAAATAATCCAGTGCCAAAAATCGAGTCAAAGTGGTCTTATTTGCGATTGGAGCAACCAATGCAGGTAAAGAATGATGACACATAAAAGAATAAATACAAGCACCAAATAAACTAGGTATACCTGAAATACACAAATATAATGTTTTTATTTATTTATTTAAATGTTAAAAAAAAATATATATATATATATTTTTCAAATATATAAATTTACCCATAATATTTGCTGCTGGAGGATTTCCTTGTGGACCATGAATAAATAAATTTTTTAATGCATACACAATCATGATGGTAAATGCAAGTGATCTCATAGCTGAAGTTAAAAGTTGAAGATATTTAGTCTTTTGAATATTAAAGAATACAAATGGACCCAACAAAAATATAAATATACTCTAAAAATAATATTCATCATTATATTAAAAATAGTAATTATTGAAATAAATATAATATTTCTGTATTTGTACATACAAGAAATATTCTATATGCATCCGATCGATTTAGAGTAAATTCTTTCCAACAGATTTCAGTATCTGGTATTGTATCATTACATGTAAAATTTGTTGGTTGATAAGTACAAATAACATCAGCTAAAGTTTTTGCTACTGCTGCTCCATATATACTTAAATCCCCATAAAGATATATAGCAAAACATAAATAGAATAGAGTTATGCCAAATTTATTAAAAAAAATTGATGCCATCTGTCCCATTTCTATTTTATCACGTATTATATAATATCGATATGTCATATCTGTACGATCAGGACTAGTTGAAAATGGAGTAACAAGAGGAGTATCTTCAGAATCTAAATTTGAAGGTCCTGATTCACCTAGTGTTTGAAGTACCTGAAATAAAATACAATTTTTTTTAATTAAAAATAAAATAATTGCTAGAAAAAACAAATCTTATTAAAAATATATATATATAATACTATCAAAAAGCAAAAATTGTTACAAAAAATGCAATATAGAAAATATTTAAAAACCTCAGATTCTGATTCGTTGAAAGATGAATCTTGAGAAAAACATACACGTTTTCTATGTTGAATATGTCGCCATGCTAGTATAGCATTAGCAGATGCCATTACTTCGATCACAAATGTAACTGTGATGAAACTATAAAAATAATACAATTGATTTTAAGTTTTAAAACTAATTAATTAAAGTATATAGACCTTATTATTAATCTACCTTATAAATGCTAATATTAAAATAACACTTAATCCAAGAGCCCATCCTGCTCGACTAAAAACAGCAGGTAATGTTAAAGCTCCTGTTCCAACAATTAAATTAAAAATATATATTAGACCAACCTGAAAAATATATTAATAATAAAACTTTATTTATATATATATAGACAAAAAATAAAAAAAAGTAATATAATAATGGGACCCAAGAAAGACTTTGTTTATAGTTTGAGGTTATTTAATACCATATGTCAAAATTACAAAAACCATATCGAAATTATAAACTTACCCATGTCGAATATTGATCACTTGAGTTTTGCTCGGGCATTTTCATTCAAATTACAAATTAAAATGAAGTCTGCTCAAGCTAAACTGTATTATTATTATATATGTCATTGACCTATCTGATGCTTTGTATTTTTGTGATGATTCAAGAACAACTGTGCTAAAATCAAACAAAACTTCAACCATGGATTTTTTAATATGTTTGTTCCGTAATTTGTAATTTATTTTAATTATTTTTAATTATTTGAATTATATAATTTTGTCACATATTTTATCTATTTACTGTTTTCTCAATAAAATTTTAAAATTAAATTTATTTTAAAAAAAATGTTATAATCAAAATTTAAATTTAAATTGATATCAAATATATTCTTCCGCATTTGACAGTTTGCGCTGTAGTCAACTTCATAAGAAAGCTTTGTGCTGCCATCTAATTGTTATTTAAACAAATTATTAATAAAAATAATTTAAATATTATTGTCAAATATTTTAATTATAGACATTCTTCCATCATTATTACATATATTAAACTTTAATATTTTTTAATAGTTATGACATTTTTATAAATTTATTTTTTTTTTAATTAATAAGACCTTATAAATCAATATAGCCATTTTATTAAAAATTGATACATAAATACTAATCATTAAAAAATTTTTTTTGTAAATGAAATCATTTCTGTTTTATTTGAAAATTGAATAGAATATTTCATAAAGCAATATTATATTATACTACAATATAGTAATAAAATATCTCTAAATTTTAAATATAACTCAAAAACTCTAAATTACAGATTTTTATAAGGAGTAACAGATACCACTTCATTGAAAATAATTTTTATTCGACTGAAAATATAAACCTAATTCTTAGAGTAATATAAACTTTTACCACAAATCTTACGTTACAATAATGAATAACGCCAAACAGTACAAAAGCTACATTGTGTATAAAACTACATGAATTCATGCTAAATGAAGTAATGATCAATTTTTTTTAGCTCAGATTATGATATACTGGATTGGAGATCAAGGACACAATATCCAGTAAAGGGTGTTGGATTAACTATAATCTTAAAAAACACAAAAGTCAAAGCAATAATGTTTTTAAGAGTTTTATTTTATAATCCCATAAGTCTAAAGTAGTCTTTAAGATGTGTACGTGAATGGTCTTGCACAATACAATGGGAATAAATTATAATACTTTGGCTACGCTTGCGGGGTCGAAACCGTGTCTTTTTTATTCGTTTGAGCGAGCGTTTGTGGGATTTTTCTGGGTCAGCGGTCTCCCCCATTATTTAAAAAAAAAGAAAGGAAAGAGCCATCTTTTCCCTCAACGATTGGTAACAGTAAAAAAAAAAAGATATGATTAAGAAAGGCCTATCTCCGCTGGGAATGATGAATTCTCGAAGGATTGACATAAGTGTCCTTAAATATTGGCGGAGTAAAATAGCGGAATGCATTTAATTGGAGGATACCAAACTAAAAGATCTTTCGTGCATTAAAGATGCGCACAACGATTCCATTCTGCATCGAACAATATTCCAAAATAATTTATATAATAGTTTTCTTCTGCTCAAACTCGCGAATATTAAAAATTGGCAAATATTTATATATATATATATATGTATATATAGCATGTTCGATAAAGAAAAGAACAAAATTATTATTTCGATTGTAAAGTGAAATATTGCGATGATAATAAGAAAGATGTTTTTCGTGAGGGTGGTTAGCTAAGATGCTACCATAGGCAATGTTATTTGAAGATACAGGGTGTTAATATATTCATGGGATAGCTTCGTAAGGTCAATTCAAAAAGCCAAAATAAATACAAAAGTTGATATACAAAAAATGTCGGTTGAGACTTATTTATTAAATCATAAGCAATTTAAATTTGTGCCAGATAAAGCGAGACGGAAACAGAATAAGTCGACAATGTGAACGACGGAGAAAGAATCGTCTCAGTTCATCTAATACAAACTGAAATTGTATATAAATTAATAAATAAGCCTCAATCAACATTTTTTGTATACTAACTTTTATATTTGATTTGGTATTTAGAATCAATCTTCCAAAGATATTCTTCCAAAAATATCTTAGCACCCTGTATAATATAAAGGATTCGATAGGATAGAAGGATATTTAGGAATTCGGGGAGTACGTTTAAGATACAATAGTGTTTAATTAAATGAAAATGAATGGATTGCCTCTGCGCTAATTATGTCCCACGTGCATCCGAATCGAAAAAAGTTATCTTCGCCCCGGAGAAACCAAAGGACAATTACTATTGCGGAAGTTGATGTTACGTCCGCCTGTGAAACGAGACAGAGGCCGCTTTCGGGATTCGGGGAATGAGTATGCAAGGAGAATATCAAATATGTGCTTAGAAGCACTTCCTGTGGACAATGGATGGTCCAGACTCGTCGTATTCTTGTTTAGAGATCCACATCTGTTGGAAGGTGGATAAAGAAGCAAGAATTGATCCACCAATCCATACGGAATATTTCCTCTCAGGTGGCGCGATGATCTTAATTTTCATAGTGGATGGTGCTAGGGCAGTGATTTCTTTTTGCATTCTATCTGCGATTCCAGGATACATGGTGGTACCTCCAGAAAGGACAGTGTTGGCATATAAATCTTTACGGATATCGACATCGCACTTCATGATTGAATTATATGTTGTCTCATGAATACCGCAAGCTTCCATTCCTAGGAAGGATGGTTGGAAAAGAGCCTCAGGACAACGGAATCTTTCGTTACCAATAGTAATTACTTGACCATCTGGAAGTTCATAGCTCTTTTCCAAGCTTGAGGATGATGCAGCAGTTGCCATTTCCTGTTCAAAGTCAAGTGCAACGTAACAGAGTTTTTCTTTAATGTCACGAACAATTTCACGTTCGGCCGTAGTAGTGAAAGAATATCCTCTTTCTGTAAGGATCTTCATGAGGTAGTCAGTCAAATCACGGCCAGCCAAGTCCAAACGAAGAATAGCATGAGGCAAAGCATATCCTTCATAAATTGGTACAGTGTGCGAAACACCGTCACCCGAATCCAATACAATACCGGTAGTACGTCCAGAAGCGTATAATGAAAGTACAGCTTGAATGGCGACATACATAGCAGGAGTGTTAAACGTTTCAAACATAATCTGTGTCATCTTTTCACGATTAGCCTTTGGGTTCAGAGGTGCCTCAGTGAGAAGTACCGGATGTTCCTCGGGAGCCACTCGAAGTTCATTGTAGAAAGTGTGATGCCAAATTTTCTCCATATCATCCCAGTTGGTAACAATACCATGCTCAATTGGGTATTTCAAGGTAAGAATACCTCTCTTTGATTGGGCCTCGTCACCAACATAGGAATCCTTTTGTCCCATGCCAACCATGACACCCTGGTGGCGTGGTCTTCCGACGATAGATGGGAAAACGGCGCGTGGTGCGTCGTCTCCGGCGAAACCGGCTTTGCACATACCGGAGCCATTGTCAACTACGAGTGCAGCAACTTCTTCGTCAGACATGTTTAGCTTATTGGTTTATCTGTAAAAATAATAAAGATATTAAGTGATAAGCAATGATTATCGATTAATAATTATTGGATTTAAAATTAAATAATTTATTAATCTTATAATTTTACATATATTTTTTTCTCTTCATTTTATCGATAAATATGAATTTTTGCTTTTTTTTTAATATTTTTGATATTTTAAAAAAAGTATGATCTTGTAATATTTAATGAAAATTATTTTACATATAGAAATATACTGTGAAATTATAATATATTTCTATATAACTGAAATAGTAGATTATAAAATACCATGTGTTGTAAAATAACATTTCAAATATTTTCAAGATGGCGTTTAGAAATACGAAAATTTAAATTCTTGTGATAGTAAAAATTAAATATTTTAAATAATATATTTAACAATTATAAAAACAAATAAATTTTACAAAATATATTATAATCTATGTTAAAAGAAATGTCATTGAAAAAATAAGTTGCAAAAACTATTTGTATTTTCTATAAATCGCCGTTAACTAGAACCGCACCCTGCCCCGCCCTTCCCCGGTCAATATCCGACGTAGTTTTATAGTTTTATATAAGAATAAATTCTTATAATGCTATAAACATAGAATTGAATATAAGTTTTAAGCTTTAATAAGTGAACTTATATTTAAAATTATACATTCTTACTTCAATAGATTAATTCTTGCAAAATAATGTTTAGAGCATATTTTATATTATAGAAATTATCTTCTCGCAAAAAGATTTCATTCTTATTCACATATAAATCATCACCGATACCGGTATTTGTAATTAATTTTACAACAAACGGACACTATGATATTACAATCGAAAAAATATAACACAAAAACACACTAAATATAACACAAATTATATATTTCAAGCCTAACACCACCCACTTTCCTCAATTTAAAAATTCACATTCGGATGTATATATGATTTGCTGTTCAATTTGCCCACGCACTATCTTTAATTGGTTACACTACGATTTAAATTTTCAATTGGTTTATAAAAAATATTATCTATCACTGAACTTAAAACGATAACTTACGTTTTTCGTTTTATATAAAAAAAAAGTTATGTACAAGTTAGGGAGCTTGGGTCTTTGGATGTGACACTGCCGACCGATCTAGCACCAAACACAGAGTGTAGCTGACAGCCGGCTTGCAGTGTATTATATGAACACAGTCGTCGACCCCCCACTACCAAGCAATCGGCCAATAAGGGCAGGACACCCTCAGCCAATCCTGGCTTTCTTTACCATATATGGAAGTGCTCTGCCACGGAGGGGTTTATCCCCTCTGCCCCTCCTCTGCCCTTCTCTAACCATTTTAAGTGTGTCTCACCACCCTTCGTGAATGCATCCGCCAAATTGACCGAACCGCACATCTCCGATCTTGCCAATATTTTCCTCCCTCTCCTTACTATGTAAGTTCAGTTTGATCACATTCAATGTCAGTCGATTTTTTACATCCAATTAATAAATCATTATTTTGTATGATTTCAATATTTCTATTGATTTTTAACAGATATATGAAATAATTGTGTAAACGAAATTTTTAAAAAATTTATCGATATTTTATATATAAAAATATATATTTTTTAATATCAATAATTTTAATAAAGTATTATAAAAAAATTTATCAAAGGATTTAACTATTTAACTAATTCATATATTTTATTGATTTATTAATTAATAAATTATATTTTACAAAATGTATGAAGTAAGTAGTTTACATTATTTTCAGTTTTATCTAGAATGCAAAATATTTAGACGCTAAATTTCTTAACTATTTTATACTTGCTTTTTAAAATAAATAAATTTATAATTATTTTCAAACATTCATAAATATAAATATTCAAATTTAGCATTACGAATATTGAGATAAAAATGTTATAATAATTTTTATATTTAGCATTTTAATTTCTCAATCGATGACAAATTTATGCTATATTTCATGTTACGAGCAAGCATAATCGCAGGTTCTATAACACCGTACAGAGTACTGCTATTAATAAACGACCACGTCGCGACCACCTGCCTTGCAGTGCGTATACGTCAGGAACCACTTGACAACGACAACCTGTCGGATCGTCATAGTATATTCCCCATTTTCAAAATAATGATAGCAGAAATGAATTCTTCAAACAAATAGAGGCTACATCGAAAGTCAAAAATGGAGAGAGCAACGCCCTGCCATCATGGCTGCTCATCAACCGGCGTGTGTCCTCGATCTTTTTGCCGTTAAAATTATGATAGATCATCATGAAATGCGTTAAATTAATGCTAAACTTGAACTTTAATATATTAAATAGTATATTACTTACCTTTTAGAATAGAAGGTAACCAACAAAGTACTCGATCGCTGATCGGCAAAGAGACACTGCAAGAATACTATCGGCACGACGAAGCGAGACTCGAGAGCCGCGAGTTGCGAACACTGTGAGCACGATCGTGGCCGGTACCGTGTCATGTAGACTCGCCCAAAGGTGTGGTCGGTATACACGCTGTAAATGTTCTAAATTATTTGATATGTACCCCTATTTTTTCGTTTTATTTTTCAAATTTGCATAAATATAATTCATTAAATAATGAAAATTTGAAAAATTAAAAATTTAATGATCATATTTTTATTTTAAAATTGTATTATTTAATATTGTTATATGGCTACACCCCTATTTCCGGAATGGATTCGTCCAACTTCCCCCACTACTTGAATTCACAGCTCTTGCCATATATGGGCATAAAACGAAAGCGGCTCGCTGATTGGTCCGTTGGCCGGCTGCCGGCTAGATTCTCCAAATGCCGCTTCAAACTGTACGATACGGGGAGCATAATGCCTTCTGGAAGCGTATACTAGCGTAAGGGCTTTCCTGACTAACCGTCAGAGCTGTTTGTAGTAGTAAACATATCAATGTATGCGAAGATTATCACGTTCTTTGTGTATGTGTGTACCGGCAGTAGGTATGAGTCAGAAAAAGTTTTGTTATATGTATACTTTGGAATGGTCAACATTTTCTTTTACTTAATGCAAATCGAAACATTTATCATTGAGATTTAATACTTTCTTACATTTGCAATCATTAATGGAAATCATATTTAAATAAAGTTTATTAAAATATAAAATATCAAATATCTTTATTTATTTTTTGATAAAAGAAGATAATATCGCATTGTTGATTTAATTAATAAAAAATATTTTTTATATTAATAAATATATTAATAATGGAATTGCTATATAATAAATGCAATTTATTCTTCTTGCATATTCTTCTTTTATATATTAAATATTTTGCAAAAATGATTTCATGAATTGAAATATCTATTCTTCCAATTTAGGAAGAAATTCCTTCCTTTTCTTCCTTAATCAAGTAGTATGATATATTCAAAGAAAGAGAAAGAAATTAAGAGAAAAGAAGAAAGATTGATATTTTATTCTTTGTAATGAAATTTAGTTATATATTTTATTTTGATAATATAATTGACTAGAAATTTATATTAACTTGCTTTCATAAAGATTATTGAATAATTTTATAAAATCAAATTATTAACAATTATTAGTAATTCATATCAATAATCTACAATCCTAACTTAATACTATTTGCTTTTCCAATTTTAAAAATTGTATCAAAAATGATATACAAAAAATACATTTAGGAAGTCAGTAGGTCAGATTTAACTATTTATGCATATTTATTATTTAGATTTTATTTTAGAATAGAGCAACTACTGTTTAAATTGCTCAAATTATTGTTCAAATTCAATTTTTTTTTCAAAAATCAGAAAATAAATTTAGATTAAATAACCAAAGCCGTTATATTCGTCCACTCATTTATTGCAAGTTGTATATATCATCTCGACCGCCTTTTTCTTGAAACAGAAGCTAAAAATAGACTCAAGGGCGCAGATAAGGGTGCACTGGACTACTACGATGTCACGTAAGCCCTACGCATCTATTTTCTATATAATACATATCCATCAAACTAAAGATGTCATGGTATGTGTGAGTGCAGTGTCTGCTTCAAAATCGATAAGCGTATTCGTGCAGTCTACAATAGTAAAACGTGCTTTATGAACGGAAACCACGTGGTAATGAAAATGTCAAAATATGCTATTTTTTCAAAATATTTTGCAATTAATTTGTCTATAAATTAATAATTATAATATCACCGTCATGATTAAAATATACTATTATCAAATAATTGAAATTAAATTATATTAAATTATAGATAATTATCTTAAATTATAGAAAATATTGATAATATATATTTTCATATATTTTATATATCATTATACACTATGCATTTTTTAAAATGGTTTAAAATTTTATACAAAATTTTTATTTATCTTATTTGTTTATAATAATTTTTTAATACATTTTTAATATCCAAAGTTTAAATTTATAGAATTTTTAAGATTTTAAGAAAATTAGTTTAAATTCAATAATTTCTAAAAAATACATGTAAAATGTATATTATCATATAATAATAATTATTTAAAGAATGAATTTGCACATTGCGAAAGATATGTTCAAAAAGAAATAGGACAGTTTTATAAATACACCTGTCACGCTTCTTTGTCGAAATAGTGCTTCGATGATATAATCAGTGAATCATTTGTGCCTAATAAGAAATCATATTGTTTTTTTACGAGGACATGTCAAATGTTCTTGATTTCATTTTTCTTCTTGAAATTCAATGATTATTGTATTATTTTTATAATAATTTATTATTATTAATATAATTTTTAAATGTTATCATTGTATACTTGGTATGTCTGAAATTCTGTACATTCATACATCACTTACATACCAAATGAACGAGTAAGCTACTTCACCTAAGGTAAGTCTAACCTAACCTCAAAATGATGTCAGCGCCCGGCCCACTGTCACTTGCATGCAGCATCTTCATACAAAATTTTTATACAAAATTTGATGTAAAATATTTATGCTTTTAACTTTTCGAGTATTAAATAAAACATAAGAACGAAAATATAAATCATAATATAAATATCTATACATTTACGTGTTACATTTAACTAACGAACAAATGTGATCAAATGTAACAAAAGAGATTTATAAAATAATCGATATCCTTAAAAATTTAATATTTAAACAAATTAAATATTTAAACAAAATATACCAAAAAAATAAATATATGTATATATAATATTAATAAAATTATAATTAAAAATATTATATATTTTATAATATAAAAAAATGCTTAAAATAGAAGTTTATGTGCTAAATATAATTTGTGGCAATAAAAATATTTATAATTTACAAAATATATGAAACATTTTATAATACCATTTCCAAATACATATTAATATTAATTTTTGTTAATTCAATGATACAATATATTTCTATTTACTTTCTTCGTTATTGCGGTAATTGCTTTCGATAGGAAGAATTAAATCCAAATAAGGTGCAAGTTGCATTGTGGGCGGCCTGAAAACCCAATGGTCCGCAAAGCCTCGACCTTGCTTACCAAATAAGGTCCCGTTCAAGGTCTTCGAGGCCTTGCGTAAGGCTCTGGCCGTGCCATCGGCATAACGATTAACCGATTATGTCCATACTTTAGTCATCGGCCGTTTTCAGTGAAAGTGTTTGGTGCAATTTCCATAGAAAGATTGGGCGTATTTTTTCTTTCGAACCTTTTATTCCGTATTAGATCCATGATCTCGTCCTGAAAAGTTCAGATTGGGCGTGTCTGTCCTACGCGGACACGTGCTGTAGGTAACGTCTGGCTCCAGTCGCGCAGTGCTACCGAAATCAATACGGAATGCGACGGTAAGTTCAACGCACCCACCCAGAAGAGTGCTTAAGGTTCTTTCTCATCGGACATGCATTCGGTCCAGACAGTGAAACTATCATCGAGAATCACCGTAACGAGGTCAAAGACCTTGTACGGCATATCTTTCGCGAATTGAAAATTCACCAAGTTAACAAAGAAATCAGAGTTTGGGGAAATGTATTGAAAGAACTTGAAGTAGAAATTCTTTGTAAACAAGTATACTTATCGAAGAACATGTTTTTACAGTTACGAATTTTTTCTTAGAAATACAGTGATTAAATTTAGTTTATTCATCATTATTGATAAAATTTAATAAGATAAGTTTATGCCTTTTTTATTTTTTTTTTATATATCAGTTTACTGAATATAATTTTGAATTATAATATAAATTATTGCGATATCTTATGAATGATTTGTAAATAATGATATTTTGAAAACTAAATTATATTGCAATGAAAAGACTTATAATAATATAATAAAAAAATTATATATAATTATAAAATTCTTAATAAGATAATTTAATATTTTATACTTTTATATATATATACAATTTAAAAAAAAAATTTTATACAATTTTTATTTAAATCTTGATTATTTTTAGAGATAATACTACAAAAATACTGTGAAAGATTAAAATGTAATTATTTTAATTTTTTTTGTTACACATATTTCATGGATATTTCTTTATTTTCCTTTGGTAAGAACAAAAGAGATCTCTTATATACTTCTCTTCTTTTCAAGATACAACTTAGTGGCTGTTCATGCGTAATACTTGAATTGTCTTTAAATGGAAGATAAAAGTTTCTCAGTGAAAAATTTCATCTGGTTTCGCGTTTTTTTTTTCAATTTCTCTTAAAGTAAAATTTTATATCTAATCTTTTTATTAGATTTTATTAAATTTTTATAAACATTTAATTCGTAATCAATTTCAGAGTGAGAAGTAATTAATTTGGCTGCAACTAATTTCTAGTCATAGTAACAGTTCTCATTGGCGATTGCCAAGCATGCCGGGAATCCGGTCAGAGACGCGCGATAATACGTGATCACTATATTTAGTGTTGACTTATGGCTCGTTAAATCGAGAAACAGTGACGTTGGACTGAGGAGCTGATGATAAAGAAAATGATAATATGTATGCAAAGATTGGAGAAATTGTTATTCGTTTATGAACGAACGATTTAAAACTTCGATCAAAAATTCATTCGATGATTCAAAGTAGTGGCTTACTTTTGAGAAGGATTTCAACCGTTAGTCAGAGTACGTTGTTATTTATTCATCGCTTACTCATATAGTAATTGTATTATTCCAAGCATTTAGAATGACACGTGTAAAATTCATACGATTACATGCATTTATCTATTATTCAAAGATAGATATAATCATTTGTTTTTTTAATCTATGTTTTTTTTTTCGAAATAAGTTCGAAAATCAAATATTTTTTTTATAGTTTAGAAATTTAGAAGAAAAGTATTTACGAACTAAAATCGAAATAATAATTAATAAATATATATTTATATATATTTTCCTTAAATACTTAAAAGATAAATATCATATTTTTATAAAAATTGATAATAAAATTAATAATAAAAATAATAATATAATAATTTTTCTTTGATAACTTTAACAATATCGATAAGATAATCTTTAAGTAGTATAGAATAAAGATGCTTAGATTTTTACTTCATTGTTTTTCACAATATATATTTATATCTTACAATCTATTATATTTTACGCATGGAATTCCTTTATTCCTAATTAATTCCTAAATTAAAAGAAAAATGTACTTATCAAAATTAATATTTTGAATTAAAAAAAAATAATAATAACAAAAGGAAAAATATTGAATTCAGATTTAACAAAAAAATAAAAATTTAAATTTTTTTATAATTTTTTGCGCATATAATAGCCATGGAGTCGGGTTAGTCAATGCTGGTAGGAAATATTTTTCTTGTAATGAGTTGACGAATCGAAGGTAAAAATGACGACTATTCCATTCTAGCACGCAAGATCCGCGGTCTTCAGCTCTGACGGAATGACGTTGGAGATTCTTGGGATTTGACCTTGCACACACGACTGACCCAGAACAGGTAGACAACCGGTAAAACGAATGTACTCACATATTGCCGGCTGCTACTTACGTTCTTGACTCCATTTTCTTCCACGAAGGAAGTAAATCCAAGGATTTGGAACATGGCCGTGGATCGTTAGGACTACCAAAAAGATGATTTTGTCCTTCCGTTTATTCAGATCGCCGCTCAACGATCCGCATTTGTGTAATTTTTGACACGAGTTGCGTATTTCATAAAATTTGATAATTATTTCGAAAAATATTATTTGAAAAATACATTTTAACAAATTTATTTATTTTTCTTATTTATCTTTCTTTTTTTTTTATTTAAGTTTAACAGATGAATCGATAAAGGAAGAAAATTTAAGGAAGTTTAAAGGATAAGGAATTCGCGATTGATTTATCCAAACGATGTCAGAAATCGTTCTAGGAAATTTTAAGGTCTGTCGATGAACGATGAGTAAAGAAAAACTAATAAATTGTGTTATTATGAAATAATGAGCATGAAACACGAAAGCGTAATATGTTCATTAATCATTCAGGAAAGTTATATTTCTTGCACTAGTGATCTTAAATAGGTATACATCTATATATCGATAAGAATACTTATGAGTGATCATTATACATGGATTAAACAAATAAGATTATATTATTCTATAATGAACACGATACAAAGGAAAATTTTCCTTCTGATAATTATCATGAAACGTAACAATTTCTTATATCTTATATCTAAAACGTAACAATTATTTTATATCTTAGTATCATTATATTATTGATATTAGTATTAGTTTTATATAAACGATTACTTACTAACTACTACTTATCAATACTTAACTTCGAATATTTAACAATTCATCAGTAATCAGTAATAATCCAATAATGATAAGAAATATCTATATTTATTAATCTTTTCAGATACGACTTTATTAAAATCAGAAAAAGATAATTATTTTTTTTTTTTCAATTTTATTTGCTTGAAATAAAATTAATTTTAATTAATTTTATTTATAAATATTAAGCGCATAGCATGTTAAAAATATTTTAAAATATCTGATATATGTATGATATATAAATATTATTGCAACAATATTATTTTTTTTAAAATTTATTTATTTCGAGCTAAATTTATTTTAGCCTTTCCTTGTTGCCATCGGTGTCAAGTTCTGCGGTGAAATATTGGTCGACTACTACTTTCAATTTGCTTTTGAGAAATATGTACGCTTGAGAAATATATTCGCTTGAGAAACAGCCATTTTAAAAACTTCGAAACTCCGTTTTTACTCGCACAACATCATCATCAATCATCAAATCTTTCATTCAAATTTTTATGCACTTATTTTATCAATCTATTTTCTATCAATTCTTTGAAATTCGTTCCATCATCGATCATCGATTTTTCAAAACTTTCAATCATCATTTGTTAGGTTGAAATTAAAACAAAATATTCCAATATTCCGCTTTCTGTTCTTACAATCGCAATTGTACTCGGCCTGAGTGATTCTACGAAAAATTTAAATATCGAAGAAAACTTCTAATGGAAAGAAACTATCCTAAGTTCGTCATAGTTTTCACGTCTCTGTATAACTTTGTAATATTATATATGTGACACATATACATTCACGTTAGGCCAAGTGCACCGTTCTCGTTGCATATGAAAGTGGAACAGCGTACGTGTAACTACATATAGCTAGGATGGTATGTTGTCTATATGGTAAGACAACGTCTGGTGTCCTTGTTCAGAGAAGCAAGGTCTTACCTTATCTGTGCAACTTTGGAGCTTGTTAGCCGTCTATGTATGTAGCTCAACCGGTCTCCACCGCTCTTCATTTATACCATTCACGGAAATGTTAAGCGCTTTAATGACCTACAATTTCATGCGTTAAAATTTAAATCGTGTGTATTATCGAAAATTATTTACGATTTAAAGCATTTGATATGATATCGTAAAAAAATAATTAAACATTGAATATCATTTTATATCGAGGGACAGAAAATGAATAATGAATAATTTGTTATTTTACAGATTTATCGGAAAAATAAAGAAAAATTTACCGTTCATAAAGAGTGAATCATTTATTTATAAATATTTATATTTAAGGGAATCTCGAATTACATTTTTACATTTTAATTCTAATGAAGTAGTTAAAGATATAATAGTTGAGATATTAAATCTTTTTAATGACATCGTTCTCATAATCATCATCAATATTTGTGTCATGCACAGGAAATTGAAATTAATCGGAATATCCAGAAGCATATGCAATTGATTACAATTAGCTCACCCTATACATGTGAGAGTTTTCTATCAGTGTAGTCATGCGTAGATAATATGTAGGTCGCCTCTTCCATGTTCCTCTTAAACACGTCTTCTTTGGCAGTGCAAACTACTTTCGAATTTTCAGGCATTTTTTTTTTTTTTTACATATTTCAACGATATAGGAATGCGGATATCGACGAATGCGGAATGATATCCTTATACGACTATTATTCTATATTTCAATTTTAAATTATATTATATATATATATATTATATATATTTATATCAATTTTAAATTTATCGAAAAAACTTGTATAAAATTTTATACTTTGAATTTTTAAAAGAATACATTAAATAAATTTTTAAAAGAATTATTGATTAAATATATTATATTGCATACATCAAATTAGAAGAACACGAAGCTTTGGTCATTGTAAAGTAATATATTCTTCATTGGACCCTTCTCTGTAATAAACTGTAAATAAGAATTCAAGAGGCATTCGTAGTTATAAATAGCCATTTCCGCTTCGTCAGGTAAGCAGGATCGATTTACTGTTCAGCTTCGTCGAAGGACGAACAGGTACTTCGAGGACCTTCTTACCTTTCGTGCATTCGAACAGAAACAGAAAATTCAAATTTAACTCTTTTGTATTGTTCAAAATATAATTCAATTAATCTGTTAATTTTTTTTTTTATCAATTTTTATACAAATTCATCAAACTAATTAGTAACATGTCCCATCTAATTCAAATATTTATTCTCATTTTTTATTGAAAGTATAAACAAATCTAAATACATATAATGAGAAAAAAAAATATATTAATGATATACTTCATAAAATAAGTTTTTATTTATTTCAAAATTTATTAAAATAATATAATGATATTTAAAGAATAAAAAGATAAATATTTTAAATATTTTCATGTGTTAATCATCGATTTCAATTTTATAAATAATGACACACACCTTGTTCTCTTTCCCATTCATTCCAGATAGTCTCGTAATCGGTGAACGATTGTCGTCACAGCAAAAAATCGGGTTGAATGAAACTGGAACAGAATGTATGTTCGTTAAGTCGACAGGCAAAAACTACCAGATGAATGGCTGGATATTGTACAAGGCATCCTTCTCAAGTGAGACGAGGGACTCGCAGACGAAGAAGAAAGAGAATAGGATCGTATCTGGAAACTTCAAAACCCTTCATTTATGAAAACTTGTAGTTGCATTTCCGGTGATAACTCATATTCTTTTCCAATTACATACTTTCCAAACTTACATACTTAATTTAATTTAACTTACATATCATTTAAGATTAGAAGAAAAAACTGGAAGGATATATGATGCTTCACGTATTTCAATATTTGACACAATCACTGAATATCGAATAATATTTTTCATGATCTTTTTTAATTTTGCAAATGTATTTAACATGAATATTCGATTGTATGAAAGTGGAACGAAAACGTGTGCTTTCTGAGAACGAATAGTTTTTAGAAGTCGAAATCAACAGCCGCATTTCGCATTAAAGGAGGTGAAATAAAGCGATTACAATTTTGGCGACCATCCAACAGGGTTCTCATTGAAGGGTTTTTCTCAAAGCGGACATGACTAATATATCTTGTAATTACACGCATGTATACATTTCAAGACATTTACGAGAATACAAATTGCTTGTTAACGCTAATGCTCGTAATAAAACAAAGGAAATAAGATATTGATCTTACATGCCAGTAAATATATCGTTTTAAATTTAAACGAATATTGAGCAACTTTAAATGCTTGTTTCTTATATGATTGTATATATAATCGTACGTAATAAAACAGTCTAATATAAAGATTTAAATATATAAAAATAACTGAGATATATTCTTTTTAAATATTAATAGATATATTTAAATAGTTAAGCATGTAAATGTTTAAATGAATTGAAATTGTCCTAAGGAAAGAAAAAAAAGAAATTAATATTCATGGTCTGAAAAATGGTATCTTGTGTGGAACATTCAAAAAAAGTAAAGAACTCAGAAGTTTCAATTTTATGTGTGAAACATAAATCATCTTGTAAAATTTTAATTTTTTATGGTTTTTACATATTTTTACAATTATACAAATAATTAACGTGAGAAATAGAAGCAATAGAAAGTTCGTGTCTGTAGCAATGATAGAAATCAAATAAGTACTTGCGTATTCCAAATATAGAACGCGTTACGAGAATAGAAATTAAACTCAACACGTGGTCTCTTGTAGTACGATGAGCCGGTGGTTCACCTCGTCTGTTATGTTTTTAAAAAATCATACAGAATGTAATAAAGAACCAAACAATTTTCGAATTTTTTACATAGAAAATTCGTATTACATAATTTTATTAATATTTATCTTATAGACTAATTGATTGGTCAGATATATGATTAATTCGCGAAAAAATCATTTATCAATTGGTAAAATAATTTATATCGATGAGTAATGAATAATTATGTAAAAATGATAATTTATGAAATACGTTGCGAGAATAGAAATAGAGTTCAATATACGATCTATAATACAGTCTTTGTCGATAGCTCGCCCCACATATTGAACACGGCAGATGCTGAGGTCGATATACTTACGGTATAGGTTATACATATTCCGTATATATGATGTACATACTCTGATTCATTCGCCGTGACGAAAGATAGAACTGCATAATCATCGCGCAGCTTAGAATAATTATTAATATCTTTCGTGCAAGAATAATATTGTACATGATATTGAATTGTTATTTTGCACGTGTATAGTGTTTGCAAGAAATATTTGAACGAATTTTCATTTTTTAATGAATAGTGTTCTTATCATTTATTATTTTTTTTTCATTCTCGTGATTTTAATACGTAATCAAGAAAGGGATCTAAAAAGGAATAAAATTTATAATTATTATTTGATTTCTAATAATATTCTAATAATTTATAATTACAAATTTACTTAAAACTTGTACTACTAACTATATTTGCTATTGCTTTGAATAAAAGCAAGTTAAATTGAATTAAATTAAAAAGTTATTAATTATTGGTGACTAAATTAAAAAAAATAACGATCGATGTGCAAAAGATAGCAGGGTAAAAGTATCAAAGTAAAAGTATTCTACATTATATGTTAAAAAGCAAGAAAATAATGTGAAAATATGTGAATATAGCAATGGTTTTAATATATATCTAATATGGAAAATAATAGTTAATGAAATGTAATTAGATCATAATTAATTCCATAATTGTATCATATTTTTCATTTATATACATTTTAATTTAATCGTATTTATGTAAATTTTATTTAAAAAATGAAAAAAAAATTAAATCAAAATTAAATTTATCAACAAATAATTTATAATTTTTAAGATTTATTTATTAATTCCCTTTTTCTTATTTTTATTCGTATTAACAAAAAGATTATCAATAATATAATCAAAAATTTTAATTGCAAATAAAATATTGATATATTATAAAATCGTGAGCAGAACCAAATTTATCTTAATAGGTTTCGCATGTGTAAGTCCGGATGTAACTGCACACGATCGTATATTTATGTACCGCTCCATATTTTTTCAAGTTCAAGTTCATTTAGAGGTCAAAAGAATCCTTAGAAGAGAAAATAGAAGAAATCGCCTGGGAATTTACTTACTTTAATCTCTCTGGATTCATGATGTGAGAAGGGCGGATATGCGTATCATAATTAATCGCTTGCAATTTATATAATGGCAACGCATTCAAACAGATTCGTTTCTCACAGCTCTTAAGTTTAAACGTAGCATCCAAAAATAATATTTATTAATAATATTTACAACGTAAAATTCAAAATAATTTTTAACTATTGTAAATTGATTTTTAACGTCATAAAGGAAAAGAAATATTTTATATTGTTATAAATAACGAATGTACCCGTTGTGCAATCTAGTGGAATCACCTGGCAAAATTGACATAGCTTTAAAAATTTTGTGCTCGTTAATTGTACCATAGCAACAGCATTGACATAAAAAAAATCTTATTTAATGATCTTGTAAAATTTCTAAATCCAATTTATTCGTTATATACGCGTGTATATATATAATATATATTATATATTAACGATAACGTATTATTCCTATAATATTTCATCTGTAATTGAAATCATCGATATTTATATAACTATTTGATGTTATCATATTTATCATTTTCGCATTTTTATAATTGTTATCGTTATTTTCATTTTTGATCTTACTTCAAGAATTGGAAATATAAGAATTAATAAATATAATAGGATAATAAATTACTAAATGCATATTTTATAATAAATCAAATATTCTATAAATTGTAAAAATAAAAAATAAAAAATAATTATATTACATAAAATATAATTAAAATTGTTACAATAATAATATAGGATAAATAAATGTAATATTTTCAATTAATCAATCTGTAGCTATCATTTAATTTATATTTTTCTACCGGAAATGCTCAAATATTCAACCCATGATATGTTTCATCATGTATAACCTCAATTGTAATTCCGGATGTACAGTCAGTTTAATACAAATTTAACATTGCACTTTTGTTTTATAGCTATTATCCTGGCATGAGTTTTCTCCCTTTGTGAAATATGCGTATATATCTCCGGCATTCGGATTATCGGGTACATTGCACTTCTGCACGGAATGGGACCCCGTGTATTGCTTGGAGCTACGTCGAGGGAGCACGGAAACGAGTCTTGAGGGACAGTGTTCAGGAGCGTATTCTAAAATCGAAGTTCTTCTAGCCAACATCATTTACATATATTAAAAAAAATCGTTTCAACGTCTGAAATAGAATAACATTTATACATTATAACAAATTATAACACAAGATAAAATATTTGATGTTATTTTGTATATGTATAAATATTACAGTATAAATAATCTCAGTAAAGTTTCTGAAAGAAAATATTAAAATTGAATTCATAATCTAATTTTATATTAAAGAATTTTCTATATTATATTAAAGAATTTTTTTTGTTAACATTTATCTAAAATTTTTATCGACTATTCTTATTACATTTACTTTTTTTCAAAATTATATTCTCAATATAGTTTCAATAAATCGATTTTCTTTTAATAAATTTGTATAAAATAAAATACTTTAAAATAAAATAAAATTTAACATTTCATTAGTTTGAAATTGATTATAAAATATTTGTATCGATTAATTTTCAGATATTGGATTTAATTTCACGCGATATTTCGAAAATTTACGATGTATAAATGATAAATACGGCACTGACTTGAAGGAGGACCACGAAGAAAACCTGCTTTCATCACGACACCTGTCGACCCGTTATATATATATATATATATATATATATATATATATATATATATATGTATGTATGTATGTATATATTTGATACTCGAATGCCTTGATTCTTTGCGAAGCTTTTAGATCATTTGTTAGAAATTATAAGTGAATGCAAATAGATTTAGATAAAATTTTCTTCTTAACAATGAATAACCTGTTTTTCATTCTATTAAAATATATAAAAAAAATTGCAATTCATTAACTATTATTAAATTAAATCTTTTCATATTTAATTAATTTAAAGTAATTAAACAAATTTATAATTTCTTTTTATGATACTTTTTTTTAATCAATCACTTATCAAATTTATTTTATATATCCTGTTTCAAATTATTTTTTTGGTTATAGATAATATCTATAACAGGTTATTAATCATTTTTTATCGCGTTATTTACGTGATTTTCGATAATTTGTCTCGATAATTTTGTAAATCTCTTACAATCTTATTGTAAATCTTAGTATAGTTTTGGTTTGCAAAATTTCTTATATTGACGATTATTTTGAATTTTGCAAATAAATAAAAAATCATATAAATAGAAAGCTTAAAAAAATATTTATATTTATAAATAATAATCATATTAAGAAAATGCTTACACGATGAAATTATGGAGGATACAATTTGTCACGAAGAAGCAAAAATTTCACACAAGCTTCAGCATGAATCATCGTCTAGCTTTTAGCTGAAGAACATTCGAATTTGAAATTGTGTATATCTATATATAACTTATTCAGAAGTTTAAAAGACTTCTAAAAGACTTCTTTTCCATAGTTATAAGGAATTTCTAAAACAGATAATGCACTTATATTTGATGTTTGTATTGATTCATTTATATTAAAATATTTATTTTAGCTGTAGTTTAAAACTGCATCACATGTGGTCGAATCTTCGTAGGAGAGTATAAGGCTCGTGATATATGAATTTATTTTTTTTTTTAATTTTTCTTTTTTTTAGAAAAGAAAGAAAATAAACTTATAAGAAAGTTTTTAAAATATAAGAATTTAAACTTCATAAGTAAAAAATTTACGAGATATTGAATGGAATTTTCTATATAATTTTTTATATAAGACTACTTCGATAACTATATAGCTTACAGTATAATATTATCACAATAAGATAACGGCTAATTGCCAAACTAATTGTTAAAAATAATAAAAAGAATAAAAACTGCAAAATCTAATGCATAATGCTTTCAAGAAAAATATAATTTTGCTTATAAATAATATTTAAATTAACAATCAAAATAGAATTAAAAATATAACTTAAATAAAGATATTATAATTTTTATAATTTAAAGTTTAAAAATTATGTAAATTATGTTTATATAGATAGATAAAACTTGAATTCAGACTTGAATTCTCGTTACAATTACGTACAAACAGAAAAATATATCGAACTCAACAATGCCCGTATAAGGAAACACAAATAACTTGTTCAAGATTACTTCAAACAGATAGCAGCAATGCGATATATCAGCACGATTACAATGCAATAATTCGTTTCTTCGATATCAATGATTCAGTAAGATTTCATGTTGAATTTATCATTAAATATCAGTATATATTGTTCCTATACTTTATTATTTTCATAGAAATGACAAGTGCAATTCTCATGTTGTACGATAAAAAAACTGTCGGAAGGAAAAAAAGAAAAAATAAAATTCATTTCAACGAAAAATCAATATTTCAAAACAATATGTATCCCGATATATCTCGTTACACTGAGGCCTTAGTATTAAAAGGACCACCTTGGTGAGCCCTATGGTGTACCATAGCCGTGAAGAGATCGATGAGGAACGTCTGCAACGGCCACCACGCCCAAACCGGGAGGGAGTACCATGACTCACCCCATACAGAGAACCATGAGTCGGGTGGGGACACCCCCGTGGCGCTGCTACGTGGCATTGAAAGTGACGAACCACCGTGCAAATTCACCCTCGCTTTTCGTCATACATTCGACGAACGTGAACCATGTGAATCTTGCTTTAGGAATATGCAAGACAACAAACCGTAGACCTAACCCAACAACTTATTGTCCGATTTAGGCAAGGGGATAATCTTGATTTTCAAACATCGGAAGAATGGCGAGGAAGGTTTTCCGATTACTCATCGATACGATCATATCATGCGGCTTATGTGTCTCGAATAAAATTAAAATTCTTCCATAATGTAAATATCTCTTTCACATCGTGTTCATTGATTAAATATTGAATATCGTATGAATATAGTACCTGGAAGAATTTTAAAATTTTATTCGTATAATTAGATATATCTTTCTCTAATTTTTTTTTTTTTTTTGAGGAATTTTTGTATTTTTACGTTTTGTTGTAAAATATTTGAAGAATTGATTCAACCGATAATACTGGAATAAAAGTGATAAATTAATGATTGTATAAATCTTGGGAATTGCATACAATACTCCTTTGCCATGGGAGTGGCTCGATTTCCTGTCATATCTCATTGACGTTAGTCTCAGATTTGATGAATAAACATGTCGAATAATCTAAAATCTTACTCATTCGTTGATTATTTTCATTCATATATATGATTGTAAATGGAATTATTTGTTTTTAATTTCATATCTTCTTGTAACTTTTCTCCTTGCAATAAAACATAATTAAATTATAAATATAATTTATTGTGAATTATCACTATAGCTAACAATCTTTAAAATGTAGTCTTATTAAAATAAAAATTATAAAAAAATATAAAATATAATTTACTTGTAACATTTTATTAATGTAAAAATATAAAAATTAAATATTATCTTAAATTTATAAAAAATTCTTATTAACATGAAACGTAAGATTCGTATCGAATCGTTCGATTATTCTATTTATTATCCAATAGGTAAATATTATGTGCTATATTCGTCGGAAAATCAATACGAGAGCTAATTAGATGAAACGAAGGCATCGTATATTATTAAAATTTATTGAAATATATTTTTATCGTTTAAACAATCTTACTTGAAGGAAAATAATTCCAAAATTAAAAATATTCCACAATATTCCACAAGATTGTTCGGGAATTATTGTTGACTCAAAATTTTTTGGGACGCGTTATATTACAGACAGTTGAAGAGAAATTGGCCGTGCACCCAAAGTCAATGACTTCGTGGCTTGGTTTAATTGACCTAACGACGGGATCTTTTCACGGCTTTAGGAATCAAGGCCATTGCGTATATGTATTTAATACAACTTAATATATGTTTCATAGATATTGGAAGTATTTTTCCAGACACATAAAAACTAGTTATATATAGAAAGATATGAAAATATCTTAAATACATTGAATATCTTAATTTGTCTAATCTTATTAATATAAGATAAAGTTAACACTATTACGATCTAAAATATCTAAAATCACATATGCTTGATCGAATTGTAAAAGTAGTATAGTTTTTTCTTTAGATTCTTTTAGAAATTATGTTTTGATCTATTAAAAAATTTTGTAAATCATTCGAATGTAAAAAAATATCAGAGGAAAAATTTTCATAACGAATTTTTCGATTTTAGTAAAACTTGAGAAATTAAACGATTCATCATTTTTCCGCTTAGCGGAGTAGAAAATTTTTCAGGGATGCAAAATAGAAGATAAAAAAATGAAATATCCGAAGAATTTTCCTTTTCTGTGGTATTCGTTATCATACGGATGTCAGTATCCTACGAGATAAATATTTCCGATTTCCCAATAACGATGGAGCGTTTTTCATGATTCTCTTTCTCGGAAGATCTTTTAAAATTAATTAAGCTCCTCAACATGCGCATCACGATATAATTAGAGCGATTCGTTCAAAGTAACAACTAACAAGAGTGCGTTCACACCCACATAGAGATTAAGTAAAATTATTGATATATAAAAGCATCAAATATGGATGGATACTACGATATTTTTAAATCTTTTATTATATATAATTTTGATATTTTAATGTATCTGTAAAAGTATACGTAGTATTTGATTTTCTTTGCCACACATAATTTTAATATTTAATATAATTTTAATTATAATTTTATAATAATATTTTATGAAATAATTTTTTTCCATATTATATTTAAATACGTAAACGAAATAATATATGGAATAAAAATAATTTAAAATGAAGTATAAAATAAAATTTTTTAATAATTTTGAATTAATCTTTTAATGAAATTTGTGAATAATTAGTGAAAAACAAATTAGATAAGAATAAATGTTCTCGTTTATATGCAAATTATCAAAAATAAATACTTAAAAAAATTCAATCTTAGATAATAAAAATTTTATCTTGAAATCATCTTTCGAAATGTTAATGCGAAATCAATATTGATAAGTTAATTAAAAATTGTATTACAATATATAATGTATGATATATTAAATAATAAAACTATAATAAGAAATATTATATATTTATTTTAAATACTTCTTATGAATTCAAATATAAATTTGGAAATTTAAATTTCCAAAATTAGAAATTTTCTATATAAATAAAGTAATTAAAAAAAATATATATATATATATATAATAATAATAATAATAATAATAATAATAATAATTAAAATAATTATAAAAGATTTTGTGACAAGTAAAAAATCAATAACTATTCATAAATATTTGATCGTGTTGACAAGTTGTATTATAACATATTTATAATAAATATAAATAAATAAATATAATAATACATGTACTGAAGATTTTAAAATTAACTTTATCATAAAGAAAAATAATTAAATTTTAAAGTTCAAAGATTATTTTGAAAATATTTTTAAGCAAAGTATGTACATTTAAAGATATATATAAAGATTAATGAAATAATATTGCAGAAAATATGATTCATCAACAAATAATTTTAGTGATTTGTTATGAGAATATGCAAAATAATATATAATAACATTGTTATATATATATATTACATATTAATATTGTTAATATATATTAATAAAAATTTATTAAAAATTAATTAAAATTTTAAAAATATAACATTAATAACTCATTATATATTAATTCTATATAATTATTTTTAACAAAGATGTCATATAATGTTTTCTTGTATATACTTGATATGTACATTCTACTTCCGGTCGGTAACTAGATGATCGATGGTTATATCGTGAGTCACAAAATGTCAGCAATAACAATTAAAAAATTATAGGTAATAGGCGAAAAATACCAAAAAACTAGCCATATTATATGTAAAATGAATCACAATTATATTATATACTTATATATACTTTAAATATGAAATATTTTATTTCGTTATAATAAAAAAGTATATGTTTTATACTTTTGTTTTGAACATATTTTCTATCTTATTATAATTTATTATTTTTCATAAATGGTTCATTTTAATAAAAATATAACGATATAGAATAAATTGTTTTAAATATTTCATGAATTTAAATGGATTGTTTCTGTTACAAAATATTAAATTATAAAAATAACTTATAATAACTTATCTTTGACAGAAATAAATATAATAAAAATAACTATATTATAATATATTATATAAAATATATTATAATATATTTTATACAATATATTATAGAAATTCTAAATAAAATATTATAATATTATATTCAACATATTATATTTAAAATAATACATCTAAATATTGTATTTTTAAATCAACTATAAATAATAAAAATAAAATTGAAATATAATTAATTTTTAAAGTATTTGATTGAAAACGTGTCACTTACGCACTCTACCAATGAAAGATTGAACTATAGTTAAGCGAGAATATTGAAGTATATATATATATATATATACTTCATATATATATATATATATTGTCGATTTGTGTAATCAAGATTTGTTTTCTTGACAAACGTATATGACGTATACGGCTGAACAATATACGACATTAATTGTTTCGGCAGAGAAAAGTTACAAATATCATAATATGCAGTGGTTAAGAATATATTTATAATAAAATCTTCTACTAAAAGTTAAAATTTACTCAAGAATGACTCGGGCTAACAGGTTAGTTTTTATTGATGTGTGTGTGGAATGACACAATTCTTTCATGTAATGTATAAATAATAAAATTTCATTTCATTAATTCACTTTTATTTAGAAAGAGAGGGCGCGATGCAGAAGAAGAATCTAGTGAATTTATGCCATTAAGTAAAAGAATTAATAATCTTCATATTAATGGTCTATCAGGCATGCAAGAAAATGTGTCTGAAAACATGGAAACAGATTGTTGCAATAGGAATTTTATGCCTTCTCCAAATTATTCAGAACTTTCTCAAGGATCACCATTATACGATGGATATAGCTCTAGCCAAAGTAGTTACATAGCAGAATATAAACCTGATTTAGATGCTATTGAAAATCCATTTTATTATGAAAGTAATAAGCTACTATTTTCTTTATACATGGAACGTATACAGAGAACATCTGATTCATTTTGATATCTCTATTTTCAAATTATAATTCCTAATCATTAAGCATTTCTTGCATGTCATTTGTTTCATTCCTTTTCAATACAATTTTATTAATTAAATCATTAAAAATTTTAAAAAGTCTTGAAGATCTTTAATAACAATTTATTATTTATTATATAAATGAAATTGTATATATAAAAAGAAAATTAAATATTTAAAATTTTTTGTCACATGATAATTCACAGTTAGACAAACATAGAATTAAAATTTATATAATTATGTTTATGTTTATGCTTTGAATAATTATTGATAATATATATATTTCATTATTGTTATAATATAATATATCAATATTATATTAAATTGCTGATTCTATAAAAGTGACGTGTCGTTGATCTATTATATTTTTATTATGAACATTTATTAGATTGCAAAGTATTTTGAGACTGTGAAAGCATGGAATAGCATATTTATAATAAAAAAAGATTATAAAAGGAATAAAAAACATTAAATGTTTTTATTTATTTTTATTATACCATATTATAAATATATATATTCATTTACAATAAAAGAATACAAAATCAAAAAAGATGATGACTACAATAAATTCTTCATATAACGCGCGCAATAACATGAAAATATGGCGGCTATCGAAATATCTTCAAAATATCGATTCTCGACCTAACCTCACTTCAGTCTCCGCTAGGTGCGCACAGAGTTAGTGTCGCTTTGTAGTGGTAAAGGGAACGAAGTAATTGAAAGTAAAACAGAACAACGGACAGGTGTTTTTTTTGCACTGTAGTAAATTTTTTTCGAAAATTCGCGATTCTTATAAAATTGTAAAAATAATTATAATACCTGTAAATAGAACGATACCATAAGAGTTGACTGTTTAATCGACAAGCGCGCACGCGCCGCTTTCCCCTCGCTCTCACAATATACTCCGCGCGTAACCGCCGCCATAGTTGATATTTCTCCGATAGAATATTAATAGCAGCATAAGTTTTCGCGGTTAAACATATTTTTATTTACTAACTGGAAAACAAGAATGCGTTCGACGAGGGCGGTGAGACGAGGTCATTCAAGATAAAGCTGGGATCCGTAAGAAGAAGGAGGGTGTCTACTTTCACAGCTCGTGGTTTTCAGGAGAGTGGCCTGGCATCGCGGCGCTTCGAGTTAACGTGTGGCCACCGTCGGGTGGCTATGTACCGTTAGCTCGAATTCATTCCCCGTTGGCCGGCCCAAGACCCACGCTTACCTACCGACTGGGGCCATACTCGATCGAACTCGACTGTTGTAAACCCGGAAATGAGTGCGTGTCGCGGCTCACCGTTACCGAAAGACTAGCAGTAGTGCGCGAATTTATCACGAGTCACGACTCGTCGATCATCAAAAACACGTACATTTGAATGTACGTTTCGTATGACGTGTACACCGTAAGTAGTAGCCGTGGCTAGCCAGAAAGCCGTGGCACGACGAATGTATACGTAGAAATGAGAAAGTTGCTGCCGCCGTAGTGAAGATTGAGAACGACGCAGGCGAGCCAGCCAGGCGGACGGTCTCTGTACTACGCAAAGCTTCCGACGCAGCGACAGTAGTAGCAGTACGCCGAAAGGAGTGCACAAGGGAGCCACAGCTGCTCGTGGGTAAGTAGGACACGCATTTCCTCGTGGATGATTGTCTTATACGTAGGGAACTCGCGTGCACCCGTTTGTAAACTAGATCGAATTGAAGGAATCCGCGGATAATGCCGCCCCACGAATCTTTACGCGCTTTACTTCTAATACGAAACGTGCACGAGAAACCGCGAAACGGTGGCCACAGAGCACCCACCCCAAGACACTAAAATCGTCGCGGGGCCCTCGTCGTGGCTCACGGCTTGGCTCGAGCTGGCTTTGGTGGGGTGGTTGGAGGTGCGGACAGTGGTTGAGAGGCTGGTGGGGTTGGAAATTGCGTGGTGGTGGGTGCCCACCGAGGTCTCGGAGGCCCCTCCGTGGCATCTCGCTGCCTCTAACCCGTCGAGGTGGGGGTGTAAACAACAGCCCTGCCTGTGCCTCTGTTGGCTCTACTCTGTCCTCCGTTTCGCCTCTGCCCTGCTCTCGCCTCTGCCAACTCGCCCGATCTTTTTCCTACTTCCTCTCCACATAACGTCTCCCGATGCGCGATCGAAAGAGCACCGAAGGGAGGGAGAGACGCAGGGCGAAAGGGAGAGAGGGAATAATCGAGAGAACAAAGCATCGGCTTCGCGGACCTGTGCTATTTTCTCGCGTCACCGTGTACTCAATTCCATCATGGCCGATGTATCACCAAAGTGATGACGTGTAACCTTGTCTACCCGTTTATTTAACTACCATTCATACGTACTCGTTTTCAATGTTTACATGACCGCACTGTTGTTTTAATGTTACTTATTCGAATATTAGTTATTTGTTCGGTACTTTTTAAAACTATTTACAATATATTCCTCTATTTCAATTTTATTCTATTTCGTTTATATCTTTTAGAAATTCGTTATATTGGGTGCATGTAAAAGCATATCTGATTGCACAATGCCCCAGAGCCGTTCCATTCTACGCACGCTGCCCCCAATAACATGTGAGACACTAGAATTCCTCTAGAAACCGCGAATGCTCAGACATGATCTCTTCGATATATATACGAGAGAGAGAAAGTTATATAGTGTGAGAGAGATATGTTGAACCTTAAGAGAATCGGCGCCATTACGACATGCGCGTCTTGCAAAAGCATCCAACAACGGTACGTCGGCGAGGCTGACCGATCAGTCGCACACGCCATTCCGCGAAAGTCGAAAAACGCATCCGCAGTGCGTTCGTTTATGCGTGTTCACGATAGTTTTTTTTTTTTCTATTAAGCCGTGCAACCACTCGCAACGACTTGCTGGCACTGAATAATCGTCCATTCGACACAGCACCCTCCTCGGTGCGTCTAAAGGAGGAGAGGTGCACGGGTAACCTAACCTCTTCTCTTTCTCTCTCTCCCTCACTTGTTTTCTACTCCTTCCCTACCTACGGATGGATCAAGGGCGAGAGTCATCGGTGTGTCCCACTTCGTCTGCCGCGATGTCTGCTTCGTATGTTCTCTCCCGATATTTCGCGTTCCCCTCCCCGGGGAGTTCCCGGTATGTCGAGGATCGTCTCCCTTCTTTCTTGACATACCCCTACCCTTTCGAGCTTGCGGCACACGCTTACGCACCTACACACCGTTCTATCGTTCCTTCCCGTCCTATTCTCGCGATATTCCGTGTGTTAGTATGAGAAAGAGAGTGAGTCTCGGGCTCTATTTCGCGGTGGGTTCCCGTTTTCCCACCTATGGGTTCCCCCCTACCCTTGTCAAGAGCTCCTACCCCCTACCCCCGTGGGGGCACCATGGTGGAGTGGGGTGCAATCCTGGGCCACTTCGACGACTATCCTCCCTGCTCCCAGATCCCTTTGAGGTGGGGAAGGGGGTGAAGTGGGGGATCTCTCACCCCACCCCCACATACTAACACATGATCAAGAAGTCTGAAGTTAAGACTTTGAAAGTAAAGGTGGCGGGATACTCAATGTTTAACTTCATCAACTTTCACGAATAAATGTTGTTATGAAATGCAATGTTTTAAATACGAGCAAAATAAGGACGGTGGAAAAGAATCAATTGTTAATCAATATATATTTATAGAATAAATATATGTATTAGTTATTCATTCATTTAATATATCATTTAACTTTGATCTTGCCATATATTATAATATATGTTACAGAAACATACAATTCTTTTCAGAGATTATTGTTTAAATCTTACATATAATAACGATTAGTAAAAATAATAACGATATAGTAAAAATTTTTAATAGAAGTCATGTACGAATTCTTCAACCACCTGTAGCTAATATCATATGGAAAATGAATAGAAAATAAAATATAATAAATTTAATATTATCAATATTAAATATGATAGATAGAATTAACTTAAAAAAGAAAAAAATCAAATTCAATATATAATACATGAAATATAATATTCAGATTAATTGATTTTTATTGACTTGCAACTTGTTTTTCGTATTTAGCAACATGATCGTGTTCAAACATGATGTATTTACTTTACTTCGGAACATATCTACTGAAGAAACATTAAGGAATTAAAGAGTATCTGTAAATTCTATGAAAACACCGAATCTCTTTTGAAATTATTTGAAGTATCGAAGATCGATGCACTTCGACAGCAATACTCATGCATCAAAGTGAGTGGAGTTATATAATATGATATATAAATACGTATTTTTTATCGAATATTTGATCCTATTTCTTTTATTTCTTTCATTAATATTCATAAATATGTTTCATTTAGGAAAGATATAATTTTTTAGTATTATATATATTATAAATATATATACATTTGCTAAAAAAATTTAATAATTAATTGATAAATAACATATGTAAATATTTATATAACTGAAAAATATTATTTTGATGTATGTTTCTTGAATTACTAAATAACTTTAATAATTAAATAGAAAATACTTATTTCATACTTATTTAATTATGCTAATATTAATTATATTTTGTTTGGTTTTTCAGATTTAATTAACATAGAAGATGAATTTCACGCCTTTTCCCGGCTTTACGACAGGCTCGCTACCGACGGGCACCGTTCATCAATTTGCAACCGCAAAATTCGCGCAAAACCTACCTACTGGTGGTCAGGTGGTTGGTGTTTTATCTGGCGGCGAAGGTGGAGTTCATTATCTGAGGCCGGTCGATCCGAACGGGTTCGCAGTGGCTCAAGGGGGTAATAATCAACAGCAGCAAATTATTACGCTGCCAATTACTGTACCTGGAAAAGATGGTACGCAACAGCAACAAACCGTCCAGATCCAGGTGGTTAATCCTAGCGTTTCGCAAAGTGGAAACAGCGGTGATCAGCCAAAGTATCATTTGGCTCCTATATCTTTGGGACAATTTCCCCAAGGTGCCGCAACAGTTCTCACTGTTGCGTACAGTCAACAAGGTGCAGATGGGGTACAGATTCAAGTGCAACCACAAAACACAGTGGCGACAACACAAACGTAAGAATTGTATCATTTAGAATAATTTTAATTTGTTTAATATATTGATTTATAAAAAATATATTTTTTTTATCATTATTTTAATTAATAAAAGACATTTTTATTTTAGATCTGATCAAACAACTCAAAGTACATCCACAGCAGTTACTACTA